AAGGATCGCCGGAGTCCAGCAGATTGAGGCTGCAGTGGCCGGGAGCGGCCACTGCACTCCAGTCTGGGCGACTGAGTGAGATTCCAACTAAAAAAAAACCAAAACAAAACTGCGGTGACCGTGAGCATGCCTCTGCACTCCAGCTGGGGCTACAGACTGAGACTCCAACTCAAAACAAAAAATAAAATAAAATAAAATATATAAATGCAGATATAGTTTTTCTTTTAACTTATTTATTTATTTTGCTTTTTGAGTTGGAGTCTCACTCTGTTGCCCAGGCTGGAGTGCAGTGACACACTCATAGCCACTGCAACCTTGAGCTGCTGGGCTCAGGTGATCCTTCCACCTCAGCCTTCCAAGTAGCAGGGACTACACAGGCATGTGCCACCACACCCGGCTAATTTTTTTATTTATTGTAGAGATGAGGCATCCGAGTTGCCCAGTCTGGTCTCAAATCTGTGAGTTCAGGCAATCCTTTCACCTCAGGCTCCCAAATTGCTAGGATTATAGGCATGAACACTGCACCTGGCCTTTTTGTTTTTTTAAATTGTTTTATTTTATTTTATTGTGAGTCAGGGTCTTGCTCTGTTACCTAGGCTGAAGTGCAGTGGTATGATCATAGCTTACAAGAATCATGAACTCCTGCCTTAGCTTCCTGAATAGCTAGGACTACAAGCGCATATCATTATGCCTGGCTAATTAAAAAAAAATTTTTTTGTAGAGACATGGTCTTGCTCCGTTGCCCAGGCTGGTCTCAAACTCCTGGTCTCAAGCAATTCTCCCTCCTCGGGCTCTCAAAGAGCTGGGACTACAGGTGTGAACCGCTCCACCTGGCCTCTGGTTGGTGTTATTGATAGTATTAATGGTTGTCATTGGCCAGGCTTGATGGCTCAGCCTGTAATCCCAGCACTTTGGGAGGCTAAGGTGAGTAGATTATCTGAGCTTGCAGGTTTGAGACCAGCCCAGGCAACTTGGTGAGACCTCGTCTCTACAATAAATAAAAAATTAGGAAGGCATGGTAGTGTGTACCTATAGTTCAGGCTGCTTGGAAGGCTGAAGGATCTCTGGAGCCCAGCAGTTCGATGCTGGGGTGGCCGTGAGTGTGCCACTGCACTCCAGCTTGGGCAACAGTGAGTCTCCAACTAAAAAAAAAAAAAAAGATGCTTAAGTAATATAGCTAGAGCCTAGAAAGGAAAATCCAGAGCACAGGTACAGCGGATGTATTCAGAATGGAAGTCAACTTTGGGGAGATGAAGCTGGCAAAAACTTGATACGAGCACTGCATACCCAAATGATTTAAGGCAAGCTCCAGCCCTAGCTAGGAACTAGAGCAAAACCCAGAAACAAACGTTGAAAAGTGGGCCATATGTAGTGGGCATTTGTAGAGAGGCTAAAACTTGCTGCTTATACAGATCTTGGTTCCTTTGAGGGAGACTATGTCTGTGGTCTCTCACAAGTGAGATGAGATCTTCAAGAATATAACCACACCTGATGCCTATTGGTTCAGGGCTCCATTGCAGCTATGCTGGGGTACCTAGTTATTCCCATTTGTTGTCAATTGGGAGAGGCTATGACTGACAAGGACTTACAAGAAGCTGGAAAAGACTTATTTATTTATTTTTGAGTTGAAGTCTCATTCTTGTCGCCCAGGCTGGAGTTCAGTGGCACGCTTACTGCCACCGCAGCCTCCACCTGCTGGACTTAGGCGATTCTTCCACCTCAGCCTTCCAAGTAGCTGGACTACGGACGCATGCCACCATGTCCGACTAGTTTTTGTGATTTTATTGTAGAGACGAGGTCTCACCACATTGCCCAGACAGTTCTCGAACCCGCGGGCTCAGGCAGTCCTCTTGCCTAGGCCTCCCAAAGTGCTGGGATTACAGATTGAGCCACTGCACCTGGCCTGGAAAAGACTTATTAACTACCTGTGTTAGGGTCTACCAGGGCAGGGGCAGAGGAGTGACAAGGACAGAAGGAGGCAAGTCATTGCACAGGGCCTTGGAGCCAATGTTGGCTGCTTCCTATCTAAGCCCTCACTCATCCAGTGCATTTTCTCTTTGGCAGCCCTCTCTGGGAGATGGTTCAGGATGGCATTGACCTCAAGAGCATAAAGTGGACCCAACACTAGAAGAATGGACCCCTGGCTCATCAACCCACATATAGCCATGCCCCTTTGTTATGCCCAATGGATGCTCCAGAATTGGTGTAAGCCAGTTGTTTTCAACATCAACCCACTTCTATGACAGAAACACAACTACCTTTCCCCAGCTTCAGTTCCTCTGGTGGGGAACACTCTCCATTTCTCTCCAGGAGTTTTTCTGTCCTCTTACAATGTGTGGACATTTTCATCCTGAAGCAATAGAAACATTTGTTATGATATTGCTGCTGGACATCTCCGTGTCCTTGGTGGGGAGAGCAAGAGGAACCAGAAGAAGGTTCTTTGTTCAGGGACCCTGGCTCTACAAAAGGAGGACATTTGAGTAATCGCTTTCTGCTACTCAACTGGAATGGCTTCTTCAGCAATTACATAATCAACTACAATTGAATGTTTTTTGTATCTCCAAAGATATCTCTTCATTGACTGTAGACTGAACAGCAAGTTTCTTGGAAGGCTTGTCTCCTTTCTACTCTTTTCTTTCCTTTCCTTTATTTTTACCTAATGCAGTTATAAATATTTATATGACTCCACCCATTAATACCACCAAGTTTAGTAGTAATTTCTTTCCTTAACATTTATTAATTGGAAGATTGGAGAAATAAACACACCTTCTATTTACTCTGTATGAGAGGCTGAGGGAGAAGTAGAAGCTGCACTTGGGAATTTTGGAAAGACTTCCGCTCCACTTGATTTCCCATAGATGGCTCAAAAGGTTTTGTTTTTTTTTGAGTTGGAGTCTCACTCTGTTGCCCAGACTGGAGTGCAGTGGCC